CTCAGACCTGCAAGCCATCTCTCTAGCCCCTCTGCTAACAAATAACAGGCTTAAGTCTCATTGTCAATTCCTGTAAATGTATTGTTTCTAGATGGGATTCTTTTAGTAAATCTGTTTTGTTCTGTGTTACATGTGATTTAATTTGAAAATGATTATTGGAAAAGTATTGGCAGGCATTTACTAAAAAGAAAGCATATTGAATAATGATTACAGTTTTAGTACTAATACCTTTAGTCCTAGCACTTGGGAGGCAGAGGCAGGCTGATCTCTGGAGTTTGAGACCAGCCTACTTGGTCTACAAGAGCCAGTTCCAGGACAAGCTCCAAAGCTACACAGAGAAACCCTCTCTTGAAAGACTTAAAAAAGAAGAGAAGAGAAAAGAAAAGAAAAAGCAATAGAATGAACTCTTGAATACTTATGTGACATCCTTATTTGAACATGGAACAGACTTAAAACAACTTTAATAAAGTAAGGCTGACTAACCCTGCTTAATTCATTGAAAATTTAGTTATCTGACAAAAGTAAGTACTTTTAACTTTGTGTTTGAAATTTGAATAATCTAAAAGATACTTGCATTGTCTCTGAAAAGAGTACTCTGTTCTCTTTCTGTAATTTAGTTTTGGGTTGGTATAATATAGCTAACATTAGGAATATTTTATTGTAATACAGATTGGGAACATTTTGTATTGCCTTATAATTACAATTAAAGTTTGGTGATGCAGATAGGTAATTTCTGAAGTAATACATTTGGCTATTGGAATCCATGGTGAATAGTTATATTTGGTAGACTTAAGAGTAAAAAGATAGGTATCTTTTAAAGTAGATTTTATTTCTTAGAGTGATTTTAAGTTTAAGCAAAACTGAGTAGAAAGTAGTTTCTAAATGCCCCCCCCCACTTTATTACCAACATCCTGTGTTAGAGTAATTCACTTATTATATTAACCTTCACTGATGTATCCAGGATGGATACTTCACATTAGAATCCACTTCTGTTTTTAAAGTTAACTTGTAAATATGTAATGAGTTATTCACAATTATATTATATTGTTTCACATTCCTGTGCTCTGCCTATTTCTTTCCTTGCTCTGAATCTCTTGCAGCCATTTTTTAAAAAATTAAATAAGATAAGTGTTTTGTGTGTGTGTGTGTGTGTGTGTGTGTGTGTGTGTGTGTGTGTACACATGTGTGTACGTGTACGAACTTGTGCTAGGAATCAGTCTCAGGTGTCATCTGCCTCATTTTTTGAGAGGGTTCTCACTGGCTTGGGGCTTGTGCATTAAGCAAAGTTGACTGTTGAGTGTACCTCCAGAATCTGCCCATCTCCACCTCCCCAGATCAGTGGTTGCTACAAGCACACACCACTCCCTGCTTTTTAGCAGAGGTTCTGGCAGTAGAATTCAGGTGCTTTAGTGACTGAAATGTCTTCTCCAGCTAGGACAAGTCTCTTTGTAAGTCTTGTGGTAAATAGACCATTAGATGTATTTAGTGTTCAGCGGTGGAGAGAGATTTGAGAAGCAGGTGGTCATCTGTAGGCATTCTTTTAGCTTTGGCTTTGAAAATTCCACTTGGGAGCTAGGGGTGGAGAACTGACTCAGGACTGAGGGATCACGGAGAATATTTGTGAACTGAAATATCTCCTCCAGTATTTTGGCATAAAAGAATGATAATATCTATTTTATACACAGGATTTAATTTTCATTTTAAAATCTTGGAGTAATACTAAACCAAAAAAGACTGGATCATGATGATATAATTTAACCACTCTTCAGTATGATGTTTTCCCCCTAAAGTTGGAACAAATGCAGATAAAGTATTTCAAACAAATACTAACAAACAAATGAATAAAAGAAAGTTCATTTATAATTTTTTACTAAAATACTTGTTCAGGTTAATAGTTTGTGATTATTTACAATAGAAAGTCTTTTGCTGGTAGAACTATAATAATTTTTATTGTAATTTTTGAGTAAGTGTGCTTTCTTCCGAGCTGGTGTGTGTGTGTGTGTGTGTGTGTGTGAGAGAGAGAGAGAGAGAGAGAGAGAGAGAGAGAGAGAGAGAGAGAGAGAGAGAGAGAGAGAGAGAGAATGCTAGCTTGAGCTCACACAGTAACCTTTGCTTGCATGTGGAAGTCAGAAGAACTTTGGGGAAGTTGGCTTGTGCTTGCTTCTGTGAGTTCCTGGGGTTGAACTCAGGCTGTCAGGCTTGTGCACCAAGTGCTTTTACTCATTGAATCACCTTGTTGGCCTCACATCTGGTGTCAGGCACTCTCCTAGGTGTTAGGAGACAGCTAGTCAACAGGATGAGTGGTGATGCACTCTTTCCCTGGAGGGGGAGACAGGAGGTACACATGCAAATGTTACTTTAGAAAAGGAGTGAGTGAGTGTCCACAGAAAGACCACACTAAGGAGACAGCTGTTAAACTGACACCTGGAAGAAGGACGTGATGATGTGTAAATTTCTAAGGTCAGCATTTTATACAGAGGGAACTTCTGTACAGGATAGGATTCTAAGGTGGGAAGCAGGTCTGTTTGCTGAAGGGACACCAGTAAGGCCAGATGGCCAGGCCTTTGGGGATGGATAGGAATGTTGCAGGATGGATGAGAGGGGGAGGCAGAAGCTTGATCTAAGCTAAGCACTCTGGTGTCTATGGCAGGGAAACTAAGAATTTTCTTTTTTTATTGTTTTAAGTATTCTTTAGTTAAAGTACAGTGAAAGTTTTATCAGTATTTTAGCTGTTTAGGAGGGGATACATATAGTAAATATTCAAAAGATATATGAAAATTAACAGAGTATAGGAACATTAAATTTGTTTAGGAGCCTTAGGGAATTTTTTATTCTTGGGAAATGATATTTAAGTTGAAACTTGGGGACTATGAATTAATTAGGGGTTAACATGGGGAAGAGTGTATGATATTCCATGCAGAGGAGTATCATGAGTCAGAAAGACCCTTACTGTGTGAAGTCTGAAGGAAAACTGGCTTGGTTTACAGAGGGGAGAGCTGCATCAAATGACAATAGAGAGATGGGTAGGGAGGAGAGTGTAAGACAAATTTTAATGAGAGTAATGAGCAGATTTAGAGATGTGTTTAGTTGTCTCATGAAGGTTGGGTTAGTTTTGGGGAGGGGAGTAAGTGTGTTTCTGATGACCAATATGGTATAAATACATTATACATGAGATAGAAGATGGTGAGAGGGACACGTCTGATTAAAGGCTGGAAGAAAAGGATATATGTAAGGATGGACTCAGATTTGTGCCTTAGCAACAAGTATGTAGTGATGTTAGTGTGTAGCCACTGGTTGAGTGAACCAATAGTGTTTTGGCATTTCAGAGTATAAAAATTCCCTGTTAGAACATTTTAAATTATTTTTACCTTAGTAGCAAACACCTATAGAGCTTACTGTGTACCGTACTAAAACTCATTTAATGCTGATGACAACCGTATGAGGGAGACATGTAGTTGCCATTTACAAATGAGAATAGGCACAAGGGAAGCTCTCAAGTCGATATGGAAATTCTATTTTCTCCTGCTGGTGTTAACCTCTGATTAAGTTTGGAAACTTAATCACACACTTTGCATACTGTTTTAGCACTTATCTGGTCTTTCCTAATGATTTCTTGGGATTTTTAGCTGTCTGTACCTGTCCTGTAAAGCTAACTTTTTTGAATTCAAATATCCTAATGGGCTGTAGCCAGATGTTATTGAAAAAGGAAATGATAATGCCCTCTTTAATTAAATGTTGTTTGCTTTTACTTCCAAAAGTTCTGCACATTTTGAAATGATGGTGATTTGGCTGTACAGTGTTAAAGGTGCCTTTTGATATGGCAGGGGAGGCAAATCAGATAAGCAGATGTTTCCTTCTGTTAAAAAGTCCTTAACATAGATAGAATTGCTGATCTGCGGGTGGTGTTTATGTGGTAAATGTGTTGTTTCATTGTTGACTAATATGTTCTACTAAGTAGATTGGCCCTTCTCATGAGAGAATGGAAATGGAGAATGGAGAGTCATTACATGGAACACAGTAGGTATCAGGTCTTCTTAGAGTAGAAATTAACAGTGGACAGGTTCAAGGGAGTGTGGTTTATAATTTTTGATGTAGGAATGTTGATAGGGTCCCAATGTTAACTAGATTGCTACATGGCATCAGGAGGTTGGTAGAGAAACTGAGCAAGGTCCATATAAAGAGTTATTAGATACTTTCAGTATTTATTTTAAAGAACTGAAAACTGGGCAGTTGTCTCCATTACATTTTCTGTAGTTATTTTTTTTTTCTGCAAAAATTACCTTATGGTGTGTGGTAGTAAACAAAGGAACAGTCCAGTTGTTCATAGAACCTACATATTCTTAAAGTTGTAGCTGTGGTGTTTGAGAAAAAGCTCACTGGTATCGCAGTGGCTGTTTTTCTCCACTAAAACAGTCCTGTGTATTTTGCTTTGGCAAGGGAGTTTATGTAAGCCTTACTTGGAAAATTTGGGACTTGTTAGCTTTATTGGGTCATATTTGGACTCTCCCTAGAGCCCTAACTTTACTTGTGTAATTCCAGAATGAAAATCACTACAGTCTATCTGCTTTAGTCTTTGTGCTGTGGAGTAATTTTCTAGGTGATGAATACAAGGAGAGTTGAGCTCTAAAGAACATATGAGGTGAAGCTAATTTTTGTTCATGTCTGTGCCTAGCTGTGGTGTTCATTCCTAAAGTACTGAAAGGTGTTTGCAGAGTGCTGCAGTGCTAGAGAGCAGCTGTTGCACACAGTTAGTGGGTCAGTCAGTTCATCGGAGATGAGGACCTAGTGTAGATGCTTCTGGATCTCCGTATAAAATGGGAAATTTGACTGATAGTGTTTGCCCTGTTATAGAAGGATTGCAAAATGCAAAGGAGCTTATATATGTATGTCCTCAAACATTCTACAGAGAGAATTTCAAATTTTGCTTTAGGTGAGGTCCTTCAGGAAAAGTTGGTAATGTAGGGATTAAAGTAACATGTTCCTTTGTTTTTAAATTCTAGGTGAGGATTTTGAAGATGATGACCTAGTAAACTCAGATGAGGTTATGAAGAAACCATGCCCAGTGCAGATTGTTCTTGCTCATGAAGATGACCATAACTTTGAGCTTGATGAAGAGGCCTTGGAGCAGATACTGCTACAGGAGCACATACGGGATCTTAACATAGTCGTGGTCTCTGTGGCAGGAGCTTTTCGTAAAGGGAAATCATTTCTCCTGGACTTTATGCTTAGATATATGTATAACAAGGTGAATAGCATCTTTTAAATTGACCCTAACAAATACAAAAAAAAAAAATTGTCAACCAACTTAAAAGAAAAAAGACAGATGCCAAAATTATATTTTTAATTTCTAGTTATGTCCAAAATATCTGAGTATACCTTGAAAGATAACTGAGGTACTGTGCACCTCCTGCCTTTGTTGTTTCTTTATATATTTTCCTTTTTGGCCACGCACAGTAAGTACAGTAGATGATTAGAGACCTTTGTATAAGTATATCTGTATTCTTCAAATTGTTACTTGTGATAAAATTCAGTTCTTCAGAGTGTCTTCCGTGTTGTCTGAGCCCCATCTCTTCCTGTACGTAAAATATAATACTATAGTTTTTGTTTGTTGGTTGGTTTTGAAGAGTATGCCATGCTGTTTCACAAATGTTGTCATATTTGTGACTGATCTTTTCATAAGAAGCCTTCCTTTGCTTCTGAGGCTTCCCTACTTTGATGGTTCACATATTTTTATTAATAATGTTTTTTAGTTGTTTTTTTTTTTTTTTTTTTTAGCTGAGTCACTCTCTCAGGAAAGGTGCCCCCCCTTTTTATTACATATCATTAGCTTCTACCAAAAATGTTTTTAGTAGACATATTTTAATAGGTGCATTTCCCTCCTCTATACATTCTCACTATTAGACAGTATGAGAGTTTTTGTTTTTTTTTCTCACTGCCTTTGACGTTTTTCCCCTGAGGAAAAGTGGATGGAATGATTCATTTTAACCAGAATGCTTTTCTAAATAGCTAAAAGTTTAGCAGAGGGAAGGAGAATTTGACAGGAAGCAAGAAGAAGGTATTGGGAAATTTTAGAGTAGGACACTAAGATGGAATTGCTTTGCAGGGAAAAAGCTATATTCAGAAGCTACTAGAAATAGCACCTACCTGAATTATTTAATTATCTAAACACCTGTCTGACTACTTACTTATTTACTTACTTACTTCATCTGTCTTGAAAAAGAGAGAAGCTAAACATTCTCATTGGTTTTTCCTGAAAGCATTGCAGTAAATTCTTTTCATAGGAATCCTAAATGTACCTTAGTATCAAGATTGAAGTTCATATTAGTGAACAGTATTTTATGTGTTTAGGCTCTTCCATTGTTTTGGGTTTCCTTAAAACTTTACTTTTTGAAGATTGTTTTTTCATTTCACCATTTCCTCTGTGGTTTAGAAGTTTTTTGAGACAGGGTTTCTTTGTATTTCTTTGGAACCTGTTCTGAAACTAGCACTGTAGATCAGGCTGGTCTTGAACTCACAGAGATCTGCCTGCCTCTGCCTCTGCCTCCTGAGTACTGGGATTAAAGGCTTGCACCATCAATGCCCATCAATTTAGAAGCTTTTTAATTTCACACAATCCCAGTCATCTGTCCTTGGTATTCTTTCCTATCATTAGAATTTTTATGGTGACTATATCAAGTCTGGTGGTTATTGAATTTCACTGTCTTATGCTAATCTCTGAGCAGGATTTTTCTGTCTCCTAATATCTTCAATTTCTTCATTGTTTAAAAGTTTTTATTGTAGAGGTATTTTACTTTTAGATTTATTCTTAAGTATTTTTTTTAAATATGCTGATTGCTTCTCAGCATATTTGTCATTGTATGAAAAGCTACTTATGTTGATTATTGCATCAGGCTACTTTGCTGAAGGTGTTCATCAGTACTAAGAGTTTCCTGGTAGTCTTCAGGGTCTTTCATGTACAAGAGCATATCGTCTACAAGTGGGAATAACTGGACTTCTTCCTTTTCATCTGTGCCCCTTTCTCTTACAGATTTATCTTACTGGTCAAGGGCTGTATTGAATAAGAAAGGAGGTAGGGGACACTTGGCCAATTTTGATTTTAGAAGAAATGCTTTACATTTCATAATTTAGTATAATATTGGCTACAGGTTTATTTTATGTGGGCTTAGTCACACAGTTTTTCTTTCTATTTCTGGGTTCTTTGAGGCTCTTATCATGAACGGATATAGGCCTTTGTCAAAGGCCTTTTTGGTACCTTTTGAAATGATGAGGCTATGACCTTCATTAATTTGTTTATCATTTTATTTATTTTAAATTTTTTGAGATAGGGTCTTCCTATATACTCCACTGTGGCCTTGAATGTTCATTGATTCTCCTATTCCAGTCTCCTAAGTACTAGGATTACAGTGTCCTTCACTTCTTATCCCCCACTTCCACTCTGTACCCTAGACAAGAGGATAGAGGGGCCTGAAATTGCCTGATTGCACCTTCCCAGTTGCACATAAATCTCTGCTATCTCTGTCACAAGGACTGTTCTGGTGTATGTAATTGAAAACAATCATTTCCCCTCTAGTAATTTAAAAATGTCTTTTTTCTTCAACTGTGTCTTGAGAACTTTGGAGTTCTTTGAGCAAAGCCTACAAGTATGGTGTCTGCCTCTAGGCTTCCTAGATCAGTCTAGGTCTGTTCCTGCTAGGGAACTCAGCTGTGGGCAGTTCTTGGCCTCTCTGATTTTGGGGTGGTGTTTTGCTTGGAAACTCAGTTTTTTGTCCAAGGAAAAAGTAATAATTTTGAGTTTGACCTTTTTTCTTATAAGGATTTGTAAAGACTTAGGCTTTTACAAATGAAGCTGAAACTGAAAGTCCATTGCAAGATGGAAGTAAATCCCCATGTCAGACATCAACTCAGTTACTGGAACTCTTTCCCCGTTTCATTCTAGCAGCCCTTGGGATTCCCTCCCTCCCTCCCTCCCTCCCTCCCTCCCTCCCTTCCCACTGTGTTAACCATTTTCAAGTGAACAGTTCAATGGCATTAAGTTCAGTCACATAGTTTGTAGCAGTTGCCATCTTTCTGGTTTGCAGCTTAGAAACTTTGAGATATTAACTCATTTCCTTGTCTTGTAGACTCTGGAAGCCAGTGTTCGTCCGTCCTTCCTTCCTTCCTTCCTTCCTTCCTTCCTTCCTTCCTTCCTTCCTTCCTTCTTTCCTTCCTTCCTTCCTTCCGATTGATTTGTTTATGTATTTTATGTCTACAGAGTGCTCTACTTGTATATTTGCCTGCAGGCCAGAAGAGGGCACCAGGTCTTATTATGATGGTTGTGAGCTACTGTGTCAGGACCTGTGGAAGAGAAGCTGAACTCAGGGCCTCTGGAAGAGAAGCCAGTGCTCTTAACCACTAAGCCATCTCTTCAGCCCCAAATTCTTCTTTTCTTGACAACTCTGTGCTCTGTTTAGAAGTAGGGATCGTAGTTGCGTGTCTTCATGGTCATAGGTGCTCTTCATGATGAGCTTTTAAAAACAGATTGACTTAAATTCCTCTTTACCACGTAATCAGGTCATCAGAATTATCTCATATCTTGAGTTTCTAACCTGGGTCATTCATAATTTCTATTTGTCGAACCCCAGAATAGAGGAGTTGGACATGGGTGCACAGGTAACAAGCAGTTTTAAACTGTTTGAAATATTTATAATTTCTTCCAGTACTTCGTGTTCTCACATAGTCACTGGGCAATACTACACTACAGTAGGCAAATAAAGTGTGCACACTACGTGTTCTGTCTGCTATCTTGGGATTTTTATAGATTAAGATTTTTGCTTGTGATTATTTTTTTGGGAAATGCTCTGTAGTGAGGGAACATTTTCTTCCATCTCCTTTGTCTCTTTAATTGCTAAGTGTGATGAGTTATGGCTCTTAGACCATCATGAAAGGAGTAAGTGTGCTGGCCAAGGCAAGCTGGGGTGCTGTGAAGTTCACTTAGCTGCTATTCTGGTTTTTGTAGGAGAAAATATGAATTTCCTACTCTTTAGGTAGAGTTTGTTGCTGATAAATTGTATTATGTAGCTAAGTGTTTTGGGTAAGAGCTGTATCAATTGTTTGACAACACTTAAAAGTTCAGATGACTTTAGGTCCCATTTGTAGTTGAGATTCACTGTAGAGAGCTTGCTTCCTTCCATGAGGTGCAATGGTGGGAATTGGGGTTTTGAGATCCTTTGTCTCTGTAGTAGCAAACACTACCAGATTAGTGCTTTCTGAGTTTCTAGGTTGGCTTTCAATAAGTTTTGGGATGAAATAGGCTCTGTTAAAATAGCAAGACAGCTTCTAGAACCCACTAGAATGCTCTTCGAGCTGTTTTTGTTTATTTAGAGAACTCTAAACTTATAACAGTGTTCAGAATTTGGTAGAAGGTCAGTAAATATTTGTTGACTGAATTAATAACTATTTTTTGAAAGCCTTCAATATTCAGTATGCTAGAGAAATAATAGATTTTATATGTTTGATAATTTTCTTATCTAGGACTCCTGATTGATTTTTCTTAATCTTTTTACTAGATAATTAATTTAACATTTTAAAAGTATTTGCTAAGAAGATAAATTTCTGTGGGACACTTAATTCATTTAGTTTCTTTGAAAATGGGGGTTTATAAGCATCTTATAGGTCTATTATTTTTGCCTTTTTGTTTGCTTGTTTTCTTTTATAGACCAGGCTGGCCTCAAACTACAGAGATCCGCCTGCCTCTGCCTCCCGAGTGCTAGGATTAAAGGCGTACACTACCACTGCCTGGCTTATTTTTGTCATCTTTTAAATTTTAATTTTTAACTGCCTTTGCCTTTATTTCTAGGAATAGAACAATTGTTAGTGCTTCCTTATAAGCCAGGCAGAATGAAGCAAAACTTCAGTTTTCATGAACTTAAATTCTCATATAGGAGAGAGATAGAGAAATTGGATAACATCGAATAAAGGCAGATTCTCTGAGAATAGTCTTTTAACTTAATCTGTGTAGGTTAGATATTGGAAAAAAGAACCTATCCAATACCAGATATTGACTTTGACATTGTGGGAAAATGAACAATAGTTTCTTACATAATTTTATTTCTCCACAATGCCAAAAAGTTTTTGAGTTTAGGCAGGAAAAGGCATAGATGAGATAAACAATATATATGTAGGGTTTACCTGATCATGTTGGTGTGTTACAGACAGGAAGGTATATATATTGTTTGTGTTGGGATCTGTGGAATATTGGGAATAGGGATTGGACAAGTGAAAGATGTGTTAGGCAGCAAATCTCTAGATGGCCTTACAGGTAGTATGGAAGCCATAGATAGCTTTTCAAAAGATAAAGACATTTCTTGTGAAAATAAGTGACATGGACAAAGTGATACAAAGGGTCCAACTTGAAATATCTGAACTGTAGTTGTCTAGGGGCATCCTTGAGTTTCTAACCCTATGAAGGGAGCTTTGTGAATCTTAGAATGTATATCATTGGTAGCATATTGGGAGTGGAGCTTTTTGGAACAGTACCAGATTGATTCAAGTTCCAGGCTGTTTTTCTCAGTTGATAATGTTTAGGTATTGCTGTGTTTGTCTTCCTTGTGTGTGCCTTCATAAATTACATCATCCCTCATTGATCTTCTCTTAAATATATCTCTACTTCTAATTTGGATCTTGTAGTTCATTTTGGATTAGAGATTTATTAAAAATATTTCTGAGCTGGGCGATAGTGATGCATTCCCAGCACTCCAGCACTTGAGAGTCCGAGGCAGGAGAATCTCTGGGTTTGAGGCCAGCCTGGCCTACAGAACTAGTTCCAGGACAGCCAGGGCTACACAGAGAAACCCTGTGTCCAAAAAAAAAAAAAAAAATCTGAAACAAAGATTTTCTTTGAGATGTAAATAAAGGATATGTAAACTTTAAAATGTAGACATCTTGACATATGGTAGAATTGGTCATTTATATCAAATATTTAACAATCTCAACATATTGCATTGTGGCATACTAATTGTATTTATAATATTTATTTAGGGTGGAGGACTTTGAACCTAGGTAAGGCCTTATGTATATAGGCAAGTGCTCTCTCATTGGACTATATTCCAGTTCCATACTATATACATAATTATAGTAATCGTAGGCCTGCAACTTGACTTAAAAGATATTACCCACTCACCCACCCACACCCACATACCCCTACACCCCCCTATACTTCCCTTATCCCCACACATCCACCAGTGATGAAGATCAAATCCAGGGCCTTAGGCTTATTAGGTAGATGTTTTACTATTAAGCTAAAATCCCACCCCCCTCAAATAATAAATTTGAGAATTTATTATAGAAAAATTCTCAAAACATACCTCAATATAAAAAGAATAATATTATGAACCCAAGTGTCCTGTAGACATTGGTGGTGGTGTTTTATCTATTTCCTTTGTGTGTTTCCTAGACAGTTTTAAAACAGTTGCCAGGAAGACACACTCTTTTATCACTGACATTTAGGCATCTAATAGATAAAGAGTCAATTCTATTTTCCTTGCACACAAAATGTCTTTCTGCTGCTTTCTTGTTTTCTTTTTTAAATTATAGTTTGTGTTCACCTGTTTATTATTTTTTAAAGAGAGAAAGAAGGCATAGAGTCAGATGGGTAGGGAGGTAGAGAGGATATGGAAGATTGGAAAGGAGAAACTATGATCAGAATATAGTGTATTGAAAAATATTTTAAGTAAAAGAAAAATGTTTATGCCCATTTAACACTATCTTATAGGGAGAATAATTTGGGCTCAAATACCTGTTTGTTTCATAAAAAGCCCCCACCCCCAACCAGATTGCTAGAATCAGGTTCCAAATAAGTCTTGGTTATTTTTAAAGGACAGTCCCAGCAGTGTGAAATGTTTTGTATATACTATTTTAGGAGAGGGCTGCTGTTTTGACAGCTCTGCTATCTGGAGCTTGGTTTTACTGTTCTGTACAAGATACTAAAAGAGCCCGTCCCTATATTTTTATGATCTGCAAACACAGAAGAGCTTCTCCAAAGGGGAAGAGTGGGTGTGTGTAATCCTACTCACCTAGAAGTCCAGAGTGGAAGCTCAGAGTTTGACAAGGCAATTGGAGGAGGCTAGCATTCCACACAGGACTGAACTATTTTCATGATGCTAGACCAGGTGTTTTATCTCTTTGGACATAGGGTCGTCCTCTGTAAAATATGGAATGAGTGACATAAAGATTGCAAGTCCTGATTTTGTTGTGTTTATTTTACATTTATCCTTGATTTTAACAGGATTCTCAAGGTTGGATTGGTGGAAACAATGAACCATTGACTGGTTTTACGTGGCGAGGTGGTTGTGAAAGAGAAACAACAGGCATACAAGTTTGGAATGAAGTATTTGTGATTGACAGACCTAATGGAACAAAAGTAAAATTCCACTTATACTTTGCTATTTTCTCCTGTATTTTTTCATGAGCAAAATTTCTGGTACTAAAATTTAAGACAACACAAAACTATTTATGTCAGGTACTTTAATGATTAGTATGTTAAAATGTATACTATATAAATACTTTTCTTGATTTAATTACTGTTTTGAACTTTATTATTCAATGCATAATTTTAAAAGGCATTTTTGGTGATCATTTTACTAAGTATTTTAAACTTACAAATTCCTAGGTGGCTGTGCTGCTAATGGATACCCAGGGTGCCTTTGATAGCCAGTCAACCATTAAAGACTGTGCGACAGTGTTTGCTCTGAGCACTATGACTAGCTCTGTCCAGGTGAGAGTGTGTGCTGTGATAAGTTCATCCAGTCCTACCTTTGCACAATATCCACAAAATGCTTTTGATTGAAGAAAACTGAGTGAGATGTTAGAGAGAGCTAGTTGTACTTCTTGTTAGTTATTTACATTTCTGTGTGTGCTTTTCTGGATCATGGTGTAAAATACTTGACATAGATAGAAAGGGTAAAGTAAGTCATCTGTGCTTTATTTTTTTATCATCATAGAATCAAATTTTTTTATTAATTTTTTGACAATTTCAGTGTATTTTGATCAGTTTACTCCCCTTCTCCCAACTCCCCACCTTCCTACCAACTTTGTCTTCATTAAAAAAAAAAAAAAATCTACAAACCATTAAATCCAGTTTGTGCTGCTGGTATATTGTGGTATGTGTTCATTTACTGCAGGTTGGCTTATCTGTCAGAGGCCACACCCTTAAACAGAACTGACTCTTCCCTCTCCCAGTAGCTAGCTGTTAATTGTCAGTAACCCTTCAGCTAGAGGCAGGATTTCCTACCTAGTTCCCCTCACTGTGCTGGGATTTTGTCTGGTTTGAGCTTGGGTAGTTCTCTTTTTGATGGAAAAGTTCTGTTTTGGCCTCCGTGGGCACCTGGTGTGCATGTGGTATACATACATTCATTCAGGCAAACACTTTTACATATAAATAAAAATAAACCTTTAGAGGAAAAGTTATTAGATAATATTTGTAATTAACAAAAACCAAACCAGAACAAACCAAAACAAAATAAAACACCAAATAATTAAGTAGCAACCTAGCTTTCTATTTGGTATCTTTAACAGTTTTTGGTTATTTGAATTAAAGGAAATAAAAATGTAAGAATCAATATTTATTTTTTTAATTTAGGTCTCGAGATAGGGTTTCTTTGTGTAGCTCCAGCTGTTCTCACTTTGTGTATCAGACTGGCCTTGAACTTAAGAGATATTCCTGCCTTTGTCTCCTGAGTGCTGGGATCAAAGGTGTGTACCACCACTGCCCAGCAAGAATTAATATTTAATTTAGACACCCAAGTGATAGTTATGAATTTATTGCACTGGTTTGGTGTAGAAAGGGACATTGTCCCATGTGTCACTCACTTTAATTGTACAAGTTCCCCTTCAACTAGATTATCTTTGTGTAATCAAGAGAGTTAAGTTGACATACACCATTTTTAGTCCTTTTCTTTTTTGGGATTATTTGTGGTCGATGACTCTGTGGCTCAAATATAAATGATTGAAGTGTGGTCTCTCAAATCCTGCCGGTGATAGTATATCAGGAAGGTACCATCATACCTGGAAGCGACAACTTATTTAAGGAAGAAAACACCCTTCCAAGGCCTGTAGAAAGTAATACTGAATGGGAATGTAGCTCAGTTAGAGAGCAAATTTAATCCCTATTACCATGCCCCTCACAAAAGTATATATATTATATGCATCATCTCATTTAGATTTCATCTCTTATATAATACACAACTACATATGAAATAGGCAGGATAAGTAAAATCCTAATTTTATAGTCAAGAAAATGTCTGGGTATAAGTTGTCCAAAACCAAATCTCCTGTCATCAAAAACTTATATAAACAGGGATAGAAACAAAGTTTAGGATAGAGAGCTCCTTCATTATAATTTATGAAAGGCAAGCCCTAGCATTAGATAACTAAAATGAGGAGCTAAAATATGAACTACAACTAGAAAAAGATGGCTTCTGCCACCTCTCAGGATCTACTGTCATGCTATTTTGCAGTGAAAAAAAGAATAAAAACTAAGGATTTCTGAAGGTCCTCAAGAGTATGGCTTAATGAGTGGAGACAGAGATCCTTGGCTATAACAGGAACTAAGCTGAAAAGAACTCTTTGCACACAGATACCCAGTCTTCTTCCCACTCAGATGCTTCAAGTTTTGGAAAAGGAGGAAGGAACTAAATGAGACTGCTTATGTTTCAGACATTACTAGAAATCATCACAGAAGTTTTAAGATATTCTGACAGTATTGCGTCTGAACTACCACTAGTAATGACAGTGTTATCATGTTCAGGGTACCCTTCTGTAACCTTAGCACTTGGTGAGCTGAGTTAGGAGCTTGTGAGCTACATAACAAGAGTTAGTTAGAGGCTATCCTGGGCTACCTCGCAAGAGATGAAAACATTTTTTTGGGGCTGATAGACAGATGACAAATTGCTTGTTTACTTTTTCAACAGATTCTTAGGATTTACTTAGTACAAGGCAGTATACTAAGACCCAATGTTCTAAGATAACAAGTGCCAATCTTTGTTCTTACAGTCTACCCCTTACAGAAAAGGATCTACACTAGTGTTCTAAAAGTTAAGATCCACATGAATAAGAATAAATTGGTTATGTTGTTAGCTTTTTATATATTTTAGATATTTCATTGGGATTAACCAGTGACTAAGCATCCCCTTTTGGTATTTACTCTTGACCAATAAAGTTTACCTAGATTGTCACCTATTTGTTGTTAGAACAAATTGTTCTCTCTGGAATGACTGCTTTTACTGATACTGAGTTCTGTCATGAAAGCACCAATTTGTCCTCTCTGAGAACAGAGTGCAGACACTATTAGTTGTGCTCTATGTCTTGGAAAGCCTTCAAAAAAAATTCTAAAAAGGCCAATGATGCCACCTACTGTTCCTTTTACTAGTTTCTATGGCCTGGTAAAAATTTCATGTTTTTTAGGCTCATGAATTAAAGTAAAAAGAGACCATGCTGTGTGTGAGGATGCATGCCAATAATTGCAGCACTCTGAAATCTTAGCTCATGGGAGGAAGAGGCAGGAGAATTATAAAGTTCGAGGTCAGTCTAGGCTAAGTAGGGAAATCCTTTTTAAAAATTCAAAACAGAACCAAACAACCAACATACGCATGTGCGCGCGCGCACACACACACACATACACACACACACACAGTACTAAGAAGAAATATATTTTTCTAAAATTTTTTTCCTTCACATTCACCAACTTAGACAGTAAGTGAAATAACCTTCACCACCCTGTACTCCACTCCCAAACTCACTGTGTAGCTTAGGGTGGCCCTTGACTCTATCTGATTCTTTTGCCCCTACCTCCCAAATATTGGAATTTGAGGAGTACATTATCCCTGCTGCTTTTAGCTTGTCTTTTTAAAATGACCATGACAAAACATTAAAAAGACCAAGAAAGAGGAAAAGAAAGTATTTAATACACTTAGGCCCCGAGTATGTATACACTCATGAATTTACTGCTTCCTTTTTAATAAGAAATGTTTTCCATATACCACTGGTTAAAATAGTGGCTAAGTGATTAATTTATGCTGAGGTCTAAAATAACCCTCCTGATTAGAAGGGATTTTTTTATTCATTAAAACATTGATAAAAACAACAAATTTTATTTTAACAGGTATATAATTTATCCCAGAATATTCAAGAAGATGATCTTCAACACTTACAAGTATGTCTTAGAGAATATATGCCAAAGTATTAAAACGTAATTCTTTATTGTAACTTCATGTTTAGAAGTCTATAATATTTTTGAATTTTGTATGGCTTTAAATGTTTTGTATGTTGATTGCTTAACTAGAGGACATTTCTAATATGCTTGATTCATTAGCTAATGAAACATCTGATTTTCAGCTAAGAATAAAGACTGACATCTACTAGTCTGATACAGATAGTTTTATTGACATCTGCTACTCTCATATAGACAGTGTTATAAATGACTTCTTTCAGGCTCCTTGGCAGCATTGTTTTAAGTAACTTGGTTTGGTAGTTATTTACAGAGTATGGAAGACTTGCAATGGAAGAGATCTATCAGAAGCCATTTCAGGTAAGTGTTTTAACACTTTAAAAACCTACCATGAGAAACTTCAAAACCCAAGGACATAACAAACTCAATTTGTGCCAGAGTCAAAAGAAACTATTGACATATTATCATCAACTTACTAATAGTTGAAGCCCAACAGGATAGGAAACAAAAGGAATGACAAGATTAGTTTGCCATAGTTGTACTTGGTGAAGGATGTGTCTCTTAATTGGATGTTATTTAATTCCAGAACTTAAGACAGTAGAGAATTTAAGACAGTATGTCAGATTTATTTTACACCTGGTAATAAACTGTTAGAAACTTTTATAGTTTGCTGTTTTTGTGATGAACTACTAGTTGAAGTCATATTTCATATGGAAAAGTTTGGGTGGTTTATTTTTTTTGAAGCAGCTAGTTTGCAAGCTACTACCCATACTGTTGGCTGCAGTGAGTGGGAGAGAACAATTACTGTGTTTGCCTGTTGGTGTGTAGGGTTCTTCCTATGTGATGGCTTTGATAGTGATTATAATTAATATTAGTGGGTTTACATTAATTTTGCCTCATTTTTACCTGGCACTTCTGTTTTAGGCAATCACTTTTATGAAACTATTGGACAGATCATGGCTTCCATATATATATATATATATATGTTAAATAATATTTGTATTATATCATTTTTTTCTAATATAGAATAACTTACCCACCTAGGAGACATTTGCCAGTATCTGGGGATATTTTTGATTGTCACAGTTTTGAGGGGAGGTTAATACTACTGTCATGTAATGTAGAGGCCAGAAATACTTTACTATATAATGCAAAGGGCAGTCATATACAAGTAATTGTCTGGATCAAATTGTTAGTAGTGCCAAGAAATTAAACCTTGTATGGATAAAACATTTGGGAAAATGGTCTCTTTAATACTAAATCTATAGCCAATGTAGAATTAGCCAGCTAGAAGTAATTGTTCTGGTTATACAGGTTGATTTAAAATTATGATCTAAATTCTCTGATGTACCTATTGTTCAGTTTTGGTTTTAGGTATTATTGCTCCCATGAGTCATGATGTGTAGTGAGGTTCTCAAGTGTAGGTGATTGGTTGGTACGAGGGTTGGGCAGTTGCTTTAGGTGGGCCATTGTTTATAACCATTTGGTTACTGTAAGTTACTGTAACCATTTTTGTTTTTAAATTTTTGGTGCTGGGAATTGGACTGTGGACTTCAAGAACAACAGTATTCTACCCACTGAGCTACTCACTATAAAGATTATTTGTAGAAGGAAGTTTTCAGTAAACTTAAAATTTCGTAAGAAGTGATTTGTATTTTTTTCTGTATGTAGACGTTAATGTTTTTGATTCGAGATTGGAGTTATCCTTATGAACATTCGTATGGTTTGGAAGGTGGAAAACAATTCCTTGAAAAGCGATTACAGGTAAGCCCCATTTCCTGGAGAAGAAAGCATATGCCTTAGGTCAAGCAAAGGGGTGGGCTTCCTGGACTGCCCTGACACTACCAGTTGCTGTCATGGGAATAAATAAATGAATTGTTCCAGCATAGTCAAGTGTTGCTGGGTAAGTGGTGAACATTTGCCAAAGAAGACACTCTTAAATAAAAATTAAGGAACAGTGATTCCTCTTGAGAGTTATCTATAAATATTCAAAGACTGATGACTTGAAAGAGACTATATTATTATTATTACTGTGTGTCTAGTTGTGTACCTGTCATAACATGCCTAAGACAACTTTGTGTAATTGATTCTCTCCTTCTACCTTTACATGGATTCTTGATATCATATAGAGGTCATCAGGCTTGCATGGCAACCAGTTTACCTGCTAAGCCATCTAGGCCTTTTAAAAAGAATCCAGATAGCTTCATTCCTATACAGTATGTTTCACGAAAGCATTCCTGGAAAATGACCTCATGAACAAGGTCGTGACTCTTTGTCCCTAAAGACACTTTCCTGTGAGAATACTTGGGTATTTCCAGACTCCAGAAGACAGTGGAGAAAAGTCTGTTTATTATGTGTTTATTGTGATAAAATAAGAATTATTATGTATAGTAAAACGATAAATATTTTATTATTATGATCCTTTGTTGTCTGTGGCATGATATATTTCATTTCTCAACTGCATTCAAACAGAAGAAAGCAACACATAAACATATTATACTAACTGAATTCTGAAGGATATAATTCAAAGACATGGTCTTAAAGTTCTTACAGTGATACATCCAGTCACATAGATGTGTAACTTGTGCCAGAAGCACCCAATTCCATATGCTTACCCTCCTTAAAACCTCTGTCTATCACTTTTTTTTTCCTGGGTTTTTCGAGACAGGGTTTCTCTGTATTGATTTGGAGCCTGTCTTGGAACTCTGTAGACCAGGCTGGCCTCGAACTCACAGAAATTCATCCACCTCTGCCTCCAGAGTGTTGGGATTAAAGGCATGCAAAACCAGCGTTCGGCTCTATCACTCTTAACAGATTTTGTTTTTATACTTCATATGAAGTACAGAAAGGCTCGCATAGCTCTGCCTGCCTCTGTTTGCATCACCATTCCTAGCTCAAAATATATTCTTTTGTCTTGTTTGTTCAATATTTTGTTCCTGAGAAAAAACTATATTGTTACTTATAGTTTATTAATTCATTCTTGTTACTACTATAAAGTATTATACTGGCAACAACTGCCTTTCATTCTGTTGATGGAGATTTAGGTAGTTTCCATGTTTTAGTTATGATCAGTACATGTTTTGTTGAATGGCCTTCTAGTAGAATATTTGGGAGAATGCATGAATTATTTAATATCTAAGCATGCAGGCAGAGAGTGGTGGTGTACACTTCTAATTCCAGCACTAAGGAGGAAGAGGCAGGTGGATCACTTATGAGTTCAAGGTCAGTTTGGTCTATGTAGAAGGTTCTAGACCATCCAGGGTTACATAGTAGACCCTGTCTAAAACAACGTCCAAATCTAGACATGGTAGTAATTATTTAATTTTTCTTTTAAAGGTTAGGGCTTACTTTTAATGGAGGAAGGAGAGAACAATTCTTGAAGGTTGACATCTGCATGTGTGCCTTAGCATGCACATGCTCTCCCCTTTCCTATATGTGGGTGCACACATAAAATAAAAAATGTAATAAAAATATTTCCAAAAGAATGTTCTTAAAGAAAATACATAGCAGTCTCAAAGATCCAGTGACTGACATAAATGATAGATAATTATGTAGAGAAAGCATTGAATTCTTAATTCTGTTTGTTTAGACATCACTGGAGCTATTTTTAAAGAAATTATGTGTAAGTTTTTATGTCTGTGTCAGTATGTGCATGTGAGTGCAATGCTCTTAGAGGCCAGAAGTGTTGGTAACCCTGGAGGTGATGGGAATCAAACTGGCTCTCAGCAATAGCGGTGTGTGCTTTTGGCCACTGAGACACCTCCAGCCCCAAACCAATTTTTTTTATTTTTTATTGTTTATGTTTGCTCAGTGGCTATCTTTTAATTTTAGGCTAATTAGTATTTTGCTTTCTTGGCTTCAGTTTGTTTAGTGTAATTTTGACATAAGTACTTTAAAGGCAAATCCTTTATTAGTTTCTAAGTCATAATCACAACTTGTCAAGTAGTAGATATTATAATTAACTGTATGTTTTGGAACATCAGACAGCTTTTTCTAAGAAAAATATCAAGTTGATAAAAGTGACCAGAAATAAACTTTTAGTAGTAGTAAACAAAATGTCCCCTCTAGAGTAGCCTGAGTGTTTGTATGTATGTATGTGGATAGTATGTGTGTCCTTTTTTAAAATTAAAAAAGAAAAATCTCTTTACTATTCCACTCCATTTTTTTCTTTCAGGTAAAACTAAACCAGCATGAAGAACTACAGAATGTCAGGAAGCACATCCACAATTGTTTCTCAAATCTGGGTTGCTTCCTTTTACCACATCCTGGTCTTAAAGTTGCCACAAATCCTAGTTTTGATGGACGACTGAAAGGTGAGGATCTCCATACATGCTAAAAGTATTTATTACTGGTTAGCAGCTTATATTATATTTTGTTTTCATTTCTGAGATTATAATGTGATTACAACATTTCTTCATTCCCTCTCCTCCTTCAAACCCTCCATACACCCTTCCTTGCTCTCTTTCAAATTCATCTCTTTTTTCATTAATTGTTGTTATGTGCATATGTATGTATGTACGTACGTATGTATGTACATGTCTATTTCTATATATAACTGCTCAGTCTGTATAATGTTAACTCATATGTGTGTTTTCAGGTTATCCCATTTAGAATGGGATAACTAGTTGGTTTGCTCCTCCTTGGGGAAGATTAGTTCACTTACTCTCAGCATCCCTTAGTTGCCTGTAAATGCTTCCTTAAATTTAGGGATAACCATGTGATTGCTGTGTCCTTTTGTGTTGGTTCTAGCCTGCCTTGGTTGCTTTGTCACCCTTTAGCATACTGATTAGCTAGTCCAGTTTATAATGTAGTCTTGCTGAGGACTTATGTCTTGCAGTTTCTGAAGGCTGAGATTATTTTACAATTTCCTCTGATTGTGATCTGCTAAAAAAAATAGTCTCATTGTCTTATTGATGAGCTCAGAATTGTGTGTGTGTGTGTGTGTGTGTGTGTGTGTGTGTGTGTGTGTGTGTGAGAGAGAGAGAGAGAGAGAGAGATTGAGATTTCAGGATTATCCTAAGTGTGATGGCAAAGGTGTTGAGATTGATATTATTTATACTATAGCTAAAAAAAAAAAAAACAGTCTTAATACAGACATTTAATAGAATATCCTGTATGACTTGTTCATTTTGAAAAAGATATTTTAATTACTGTAAAATTTTTTTGAAAGTCCACCATTTGAGATGGAAGAATTACGGGAAAATGGGATGAATTGGAAAGTAGAGTAATGCTTTTTTTTTCCCCTATAGAAGACATGGCATATTTAGATGAACGTTTTAGAAAAAAGGATACTTAAATAATAGATGCTGTGTACTCTTTATAAACAAGATTTCATGATTCCACCAGTGAGAACTTGTTGGTGTTTTTGAACTAATATGTTGGCTAATTTCATGTCTATCAGATATTGATGAAGAATTTAAACGGGAGCTTCAAAATCTGGTTCCATTACTTCTTGCTCCTGAAAATCTGGTTGAGAAAGAGATAAGTGGATCTAAAGTCACTTGTAGAGATCTTGTAGAGTATTTTAAGGTAGGTGAACTCTAAGCTAAACAGCTCTGTCTAAAAAAGAAATGTAGTTAACTTTTAAAACATCTTCATGTAGAAGAAATTTACTTTCAAGCAAAAAAACATATATTTTTCTGTCTTGAATCCATTATATCAACCTATAGCAGAGTCTGGAGAGATGGTTCAGTTGTTAATTGTACTTCTGTAATCATGAGGACCAGAGTTCACATCCTAGACACATGTAATGAGCTGGGCATCTCATGTTTGTGACCAGCTTCGAGAGGACAGAGAAAGTAGGATGGTTAGGGTTTGCTCACTGAGAAAATATGATCCCCAAGTTTAGAGGAAGACATGAATCAGAGGAATATCAAGGTGTGAGAAGATCACATGTAACTCTTTCTGGTCTGTGCATGTTAGCGTAAATTGTGTATGTATACATCCAGACTCACATGCCCATAAAACATACTTCTGTATGTGCTCAGGTAAATCTTTTGTTTTTTCTTTTTAAGAGGTTACAGTACTCCGTGTCTTCGTTTAGTGATACTCTGTTCTCAGACAGAACTATCTTTTCTGCATTTCTGATGTGGAGAGGAGAGCCATTCTTCAGATTGTAACACAGCTCTGCCATTTTGAGTGACACCTGGAAGTGGCTGCATAATTCTGTATCTCAGAATCTCACAAAAATCTTCCCTTAGAGCTCTGAGAATTAGAGTAGCTGAAAGTATCTACTGGTTTGTGAGTTCAAATAAGCTACTTGTGGGATTTTTTTTTTCCTGTTAGAACAAGTTGATTATACAAAGCTGTATAGTTATAGAGAGATGGGTAGGAAATAGAGCTAGTGAAATTAATGTGTTTTGCTTACCTGTAGATACTCCATGCAATTACTGTCTAATTATGAAATAAGTTTGAGTTAGTAGAAAGTTGAAGACTCCTGTTTGAATGCCATAAACTTGTCCTCCTTACTCTTTTTCCTCTTTTGTTGTTTGATAATTTTATACTTTTGTATAATGTGTATTGATTAAATCTGTACTCCATTCCCTCACTACAACTCATTCCCTAGCCCCAACCCCCACTTTTCTCTTGAAAAATTGTTTTTTAAACCCAGAGTCTATTTCTTATGCTTTGACTACAAATTAGGATTTCTTTTTCCTTTGAGTTAAAATATTTAAAATAAAATAATGGGTTAAAGTGCTTTCTAACATATTTATTTGAAACATTGACAGTAGGCGAGATTTTCTTTTTTTTTTTTATAAAATGGATGATATTTTGCACACAAAACTCTTAAATATGAGGTACAACTTTAGATAGTTTGGAATTATACTTAGAAATATTTCTATAGTTTTTATTAGGCAGCCTTCCTGTGTGATAATATTCAGAACAAGATTAACTTTGTTCTAAGGCCTAGAACTTCATTTTGGTGGGGTGAACTATTATGTTTAATATGTCTTTGGGGACATAGTATAAATTATGTTTTATACCAATACAGTGAATCTTCTATCTTTTTAGGCATACATTAAAATATATCAAGGAGAGGAACTACCACATCCAAAGTCTATGCTTCAGGTAAGAGTAAGAAAGTGTGTGGGGGGTGGTGGGGTTGTATATGTTTGAGGGAGAATTAAAATCATGACTTTAGAGGGATACAGAAAATGGAGGGATATGAGCTTTATAGCATATAAATAAATTATTACATGTAGTAGATGAACTCTTAAGGTTTGTATAAGGTTTTTGTTTGTTTTTAACTGCAAATGGTAGACCCTGATCATGTATTGACTATTAGAAATGTGAGCCTTGCTACTTTATCTTCAGATACTGAAAGTATACAAAAATTCTTTTGCACAAGGTGTTTTAATATAGGCCCCTCTGAAAGAACTAAGTGCTTTTGCTCTCAGTCTTTCATGAAGGATTGTTGCTTGATCTAAGAATTAATTTCATTTGCTAGTCATGAACTGCTTCTAGTACAGGTAGACTTTCTCTGTGTGTTCTTTTGGGGTACTGTTATTTTTATATACTTTTCTATATTTTAAAATTTACCACTTTGGGCAATTCCTTAGTTTTATAAGTGGATTACTCCAGCTTTGTGTGTTTAAAAAAAATGACTCTTGTGTAAATCTGGTTGTTCATACAAGAATTTTTGATTCCGAGGACTCAGCACATTTTGGGATTGTGTCTGTTTATCTCTGTTCTTTCCTAAGTGCATGTGATATATTGGCTACAAATCTGTTTTTAGCATAACCCCTCTTGGTTCAAAATTAGACAGGGAGTCAGTCCTATTTCCCATCATCTCTGTAAGATCCTTTATATCGATACACATTTCCAAAGGAAAGTAAAATTAGAGGTTGATATTTTTCTGTTCATTTTCAGAAATATTTGTTGCATATAATCTGTTAATAGGAATTTACAGCCATAGGGTACTTTTCCCCCTATCGATAATTGATAATGGTGTATTTAATTTTATCTTTTAGGCAACAGCTGAGGCTAATAACCTTGCTGCAGTAGCAGGAGCAAGAGACATCTACTGTAAAAGTATGGAGCAGGTTTGTAACTAATGTTAAGCGTTATGCTATATAAGAGTAGAGGTTGTTTTATATTTAAAGTAATTGAACTAATTTGTACTCCTTACATATTGTCATGCTACATTATCCTGTAATTGTCTTTTTGTGATCTCTGCTGGAATAAACTATTAGAAAGGAAGTCACATGGCCAGCTAGTGTGCAGGATACATGAACTGCACTGCTGTGTTTTCTGACATAACTTAGAATGCTACTATTAGCCCATGATGGGAGTACCATTAGCTTAAGACCAGTAGCAGTTTCTGCACTAAGCTTGCTCAGTTTTAAAATATGTGTAATGTGTTCTTTAATCTAGTCTCCTACTAGTAATCTGTTGTGCTGCTTTGGTGCTTTTCTAGTGGGTAAAGAGAAGTCAGAGGGCATTGTAAATGCTGCATCATCAGTTTTGTTGCTTTAACCACATTTGGAAGGTTACTTGATTGATGCAGTTAAACATGAAAAATAGGATTTGATTACTTATTAGGTTTTTTTTTTATTTTATATAACCAAGTCCATTTAAATGAAAACAAACATTTATACACAATATTTGGGATTTGGGCGTCGTTCTTTCCAAACTACTTCCTGCTGGTAAGGGGCGCTGTCATGGCGGATTCTAAAAAGATTCAGAAATCCTGGCTATAGTCTGTAAGGCTGCTTTGTCCAGCTGTTTTGAATGTAGGATCACCTGGTATTCTGTTTCAGGCGGTCTGGCTTGATCAAACCACATTAGTCTGGAAGGAATCCACATCTTTTCATTTTCTGTGGAAACAAAAATAGAAATCCTTTTCCCCAGTAACTTGTCCTTCAACTTAAATTTTGGAGTCAAAGCATTTTTTTTTATTTAATTTATTATTTTACATGTCGATCCCAGTTCCCTCTCCCTCCCTCCCTCCCTCCATCTCTCCTTCCCTCCTTCCCTCCTTTTTACCCTCTCTGCCCTATCACATGCACTCTAACCACCCTCCCCTCCCATCCCCCCACCCCAATTCCATATGTAGGGGAATGCCATCCAGTTGGGATCATGTAGATCTGACATGTCATGTGAACTAGGGACTAGGGCTTCTCTCCTGTCTCTAGATTAAGGCAGTTATCCCTCCATGGGGGATATGTTCGCAAAGTCCTTTTGTGCACCAGGGATACATCCTGGCTCCACTATCTGAGGTCCCTTAGACTGCTCAGTCCTTCTGGCTGAGACCCATATTCAGGGGGGACTGAGTCAGTCCTGTGTTGGCTTCCCAGCTATCAGTCTGGTGGCCCGTTAGCTCCTCCTTGTTCAGGTAAGCTGTCTCTATGTGTTTCTGCCACCTGGTCTTGTCCACTCCATCTGCATCTGAGTTCTAGTTCGACTCAGTGATTATGTATCCGGGTTTGCTCCTGTTTCCAACAGGCATTAGTTGAGGGCTCCATGGATGAGTTAGCTGTTGATCTCACTTTCCAGAAGGACATTTATGGTAGCCTTTCCACGGAAGCTCAAATTGTTATTTGACAGCAGTCTTGTAGTTCTCTAGACCTTTCTTTGTGTTCAATTTTATCTTCAAACCAATATTGGCTCCCTCTTTTATGTTCTCTCTCTCTCTGTCTCTGTCTCTCTCTCTCTCTTTCCTGTCTTCTATTCCTAACCAGGCTCAATCTTCCTGATCGCACATGTTTTCCTTTCCTCCCCCCTCGTTTTCTCCTACTACTCTCTCCATTCGCTGCCCCCCCACTTCCCCTTTGCTCTGGGGGGACTTGTCCCTTACCAGTTCTGTGAGGGACCTTATATGAATCTCTTAGAATATACCTTGTATCCTAGTTCCTCTGGTGGTGTGAATTATAGGCTGGTGATCCTTTGCTCTAGGTCTAAACTCCATATATAAGTGAGTACATACTGTGTTCCTCTTTTTGTGATTGCGTTACCTCATTCAGGATGGTTTCTTCAAGTGCCATCCACTTGCCTGCGAATTTCAAGATACCATTATTTTTTTCTGCAGAGGAGTATTCCATTGTGTAGATGTGCCACATCTTCATTAACCATTCTTCAGTTGAGGGGCATCTAGGTTGCTTCCAGGTTCTTGCTATTACAAATAGTGCTGCTATGAACATAGTTGAACAGATGTCTTTGATGCATGGATGTAGATCATTTGGGTATATGCCTAAGAGGGGGATTGCCCGGTCCTGTGGTAAACTAATTCCTATTTTCCTGAGTAATCACCATACTGATCTCCAAAATGGCTGTATGAGTTTGCACTCCCACCAGCAGTGGAGGAGTGTTCCCCTTTCTCCACATCCTCTCCAGCATGAGTCATCATTGGTGTTTCTAATTTTAGCCATTCTGGCAGGAGTAAGATGGTATCTCAAACTTGTTTTGATTTGCATTTCCCTGATAGCTAAGGATGTGGAGCACTTTCTTAAGTGTCTTTCAGCCTTTTTGATTTCCTCTATTGAGAATTCTTTCTTCAGTTCTGTACCCCATTTATAAATAGGGTTATTTGGAGTTTTGTTGACTAGTTTCTTGAGTTCTTTGTATATTTTGGAGATCAGCCCTTTGTCGGATATAGGATTGGTGAAAATCTTTTCCCAGTGTGTGGGCTCCCATTTGGTCTTGTCCACCGTGCCCTTTGCCTTACAGAAGCTTCTAAGTTTGAAGAGGTCCCATTTATTAATTGTTTCTCTCAGTGTCTGTGCCCCGGGAGTTAAATTCAGGAAGCAGTCTCCTATACCAATTTGTTCAAGGGTACCTCCTACTTTCTCTTCTAAGAGGTTCAATGTGGCTGGATTGATGTTGAGGTCTTTGATCCATTTGGACTTGAGTTTTGTGCATGGTGACAGACATGGGTCTATCTGCAGTCTTCTACACACCCTCATCCAATTATGCCAGCACCATTTGTTGAAGATGCTGTCCTTGCCCCATTGTATAATTTTAGCTGCTTTGTCGAAAATCAGGTGTTCATAGGTGTGTGGGTTAATATCAGGATTTTCAATTCGATTCTATTGGTCTACCTGTCTACTTTTGTGCCAATACCAGGCTGTTTTCAGAACTATAGCTCTGTAGTAGAGCTTAAAGTCAGGAATGGTGATGCCTCCTGAAGTTCTTTTATTGTATAGGGTTGTTTTGGCTATCCTGGGTCTTTTGTTTTTCCATATAATGTTGATTATTATCCTTTCAAGGTCAGTGAAGAATTGTGGGATTTTAATGGGGATTGCATTGAATCTCTGTAAGTTGCTTTTGGCAAGATTGCCATGTTTACTATGTTTATCCTACCTATCCAAGAGCATGGGAGATCTTTCCATTTTCTGATATCTTCTTTAATTTCTTTCTTTAGAGCCACAAAGTTCTTATTATATAGGTCTTTTACTTCTTTGGTAAGCGTTACACCAAGATAGTGTATGTTGCTTGTGGCTGTTGTAAAGGGTGATGTTTCTCTGATTTCTTTCTCTGTCTCTTTGTCGTCTGAAAAAAGTAGGGCTACTGATTTTTTTGAGTTTATCTTGTATCCTGCTAGTTTGCTGAAGGTGTTTATCAGCTGTAGGAGTTCCCTGGTAGAGTTTATTGGGTCGCTTATGTAAACTATCATATCATCTGCAAATAGAGACAGTTTGACTTCTTCCTTTCCAATTTGGATCCCCTTGATCTCCTTTTGTTGTGTTATAGCATTAGCTAGAACTTCCAGAACGATATTGAAGAGACAGAGAGAGAGAGGGCAGCCTTGTCTTGTTCCTGATTTTAGAGGAATTGGCTTAAGTTTCTCTCCATTCAGTTTGATGTTGGCAGTTGGTTAGCTGTATATTGCTCTTATTATGTTTAGGTATGTTCCTGTTATCCCTGACCTCTCCAAGACCTTTATTAATGAAAGGGTGTTGAATTTTGTCAAAGGCTTTTTCAGCATATAGGGAGATAATCATATGGTTTTTCTTTTTCTGTTTGTTTATATGGTGCATTGCGTTGATAGATTTTCGTATGTTAAACCATCCCTGCATTCCAGGGATGAAGCCTACTTGGTCATGGTGGATGATTTCTCTGATGTATTCTTGAATCCGGTTTGCCAGTATTTTATTCAGTATTTTTGCATCGATGTTCATCAAGGATATTGGTCTGTAGTTTTCTTTCTTAGTTGTGTCTTTGTTAGGCTTGGGTACCAAGGTTATTGTGGCCAAACAAAAGAGTTTGGCAATGAACCTCCTGTTTCTATCTTGTGGAACAGTGTGAGGAGTATTGGTATTAGGTCTTCCTTGAATGTCTGGTAGAATTCTGCATTGAATCCATCTGGCCCTGGACTTCTTTTGGTTGGAAGGCTTTCGATGACTGCTTCTATTTCATTGCGGGTTATATGTCTATTTAAGTTGTTTGTCTGTTCTTGATTTAATTTTGGTAAGTGATAGTTATCCAGAAATTTGTCCATTTCCTTTGAATTTTCAATTTTTGTGGAATACAGATTTTCAAAGTATGACCTGAAAATTGACTGGATTTCCTCTGTGTCTGTTGTTATGTTCCCCTTTTCATTTCTGATTTTGTTAATTTGCATGTTCTGTCTCTGCTTTTTCGTTAATTTGGATAAAGGTTTGTCTATCTTGTTGATTTTCTCAAAAAACCAACTCTTCGTTGCATTGATTTTTTTTTGTATTGTTTTCCTGGTTTCTATGTAGTTGATTTCAGCCCTCAAGTTGATTATTTCCTGGTGTCTACTCCTGCAGGGTGAATTCGCTTCTCTCTGTTCTAAGGCTTTCAGTTGCACTGTTAATTCTCTTATGTGACTATCCTCTGTTTTCTTCATATGGGCACTTAGTGCAATGAACTTCCCTCATAGCACTGCTTTCAAGGTGTGCCATAAGTTCGGGTATGTTGTGTCCTCATTCTCGTTGAATATTAGAAAGTCCTTAATTTCTTTCTTTATTTCTTCTTTGACCCAGGTGTGGTGCAATTGCACATTGTTCAGTTTCCATGAGTTTGCAGGTTTTCTGCTATTTGTGTTGTTTTTGAGTTCCAATTTTAAAGCATGGTGGTCTGATAAGATACAGGGGACTATTCCTATTCTCTTGTATCTGTTGAGGTTTGTTATGCCACCTAGTATGTGGTTGATTTTAGAGAAGGTTCCAGTGGAGCAGAGAAGAAGGTATATTCTTTTGTGTTTGGATGGAATGTTCTATAGATGTCTGTTAGTCCCAGTTGAGACATAACTTCTGTTAGTTCTTTTGTTTCTTTTTGAGTTTCTGATTCGTGGTCCTATCTAGTGTTGAGAGTGGAGTATTGAAGTCTCCCACTATAAGTATGTGAGGTTTTATATGAGCTTTCAGTTTTAGTAGTGTTTCTTTTATGAATGTGGGTGACTTTGTATTGGGGGCATAGATGTTCAGAACTGAGACTTTTTGTTGATGGATTTCTCCTGCGATGAATATGAAATGACCGTCTTCATCTCTTTTGATTAAATTTGGTTTGAAGTCTAACTTCTTAGATATTAGGATAGCTATGCCTGCTTGCTTCTTATTTCCATTTGATTGGAAAATCTTTTCCCAACCCTTTACCCTGAGGTAATGTCTATCTTTGAAGCTTAGATGTGTTTCTTGTATGCAGCAGAAGGATGGATTCTGTCATCGTATCCATCCTGTTAGCCTGTGTCTTTTTATAGGTGAGTTAAGACCATTAATGTTGAGGGTGAGTAAGGACCATTGATTGTTGATGGTTGTTTGATTTAGGTTTGTTACTGGCAGTGGTATTGTGAATATATTAGTTCTGCTTTACCGTTGGTTTCTGGTGTAGTTGGATTATCTGTTGCCTACATTTTTGTGGGCGTGGTTACCTTCCTTGGGTTGGAGTTTTCCTTCCAATAATTTCTGTAGGGCCGGATTTGTAGATATGTATTGGGAAATTCTGGCTTTGTCATTAAATATCTTGTTTTCTCCATCTATAGTGATTGATAGTTTTGCTGGATATAGTAGCCTAGGGTGGCATCCGTGTTCTCTTAATCCTTGTAGGACACCTATCCAGGACCTTCTGGCCTTGAGGGTTTCCATGAAGAAGTCAGGTGTAATTTTGATAGGTTTGCCTTTATATGTTACCTGTCCTTTTTCCTTTGCTGATCTTAATATTCTTTCTTTATTCTGTATGCTAGGTGTTTTGATTATTATATGTCGAGGGGTCTTTTTTCTTTGGTCCAGCCTATTTGGTTTTCGGTATGCTTCTTGTACTTTCATGGGCATGTCCTTCTTCAGATTGGGAAAGTTTTCCTCTATGATTTTGTTGAATATGCTTTCGGCACCTTTGAGCTGGGCTTCCTCACCTTCCAATCTATGCCTATTATTCTTAGGTTTGGCCTTTTCATGGTGTCCCACATTTCCTGGATGGTTTGTGTTAAGGATTTGTTGGATTTATGATTTTCTTTGGTTGGTGAATCTATTTTTTTCTAGTTTAGCTTCTGCGCCTGAGATTCTCTCTTCCATCTCTTGAATTCTCTTGGTTATGCTTGCGTCCGTAGTTCCCGAGTTTTTGCCCAGTTTTTCTATTTCCAGCATTCCTTTGGTTTGTGTTACCTTTATTTTCTCTATTTCAGTTTTCAAGTCTTGAACCGTTTCCTTCACCTGCTTAATTGTTTTTTTCTTGGCTTTCTGTACTTTACTTAAGGAATTTGTTCATTTCTTCCACTTTTTTTTCCTCCATTTCTTTAAGGGATTTTCTCACATCTTCTTTGAGGGCCTCTGTCATTTTTATGATTGTAATTTTTAAGTAGTTCCCTTTTGATTCCTCTCCTTCGTTGTTGTGTTCCATTCTAGTTGGTGTAGATTCCCTAAATTCTGGTGGTGTCGTGCTTGTCTTTTTGTTGTTAGGTGTTTTCTTGTATTGCCTTCTTCCCATAGCTTCTTCCAGTAGGTGTTGGTGGGGTCTCCCCTTCTGTCTATGGTACTTCCCCAGTGGTAGTGGTCCTGCAGAGTAGGCGGACCTCTGGGAGTAGCCCGATTTCTGGGAGTAGCCCGGCACTCTAGCAGAGGATTGGAAGTGTGGGGGTCAGTGACCAAGCAGGTGGAAATTACGGGTGGTCCTGCGTGGATAGACAGGTCTCCTTTGGTCAGAGTTGATCTGAGAAGTCTCCGAAGTAGAGTGTACTGTTGGCTCCATCCTCTGTCCCAGTGCTCAACCAGAGCGGCAGGACCGTGGGCAGGGTAGGGGGGGGCAGGCTTGTGGTGGGGATGGGTGGGGGTGTATCAGAGCTCCAAGGGTGCTCTCGATGGGAACTGGACACAGGAGCAGCAGGATCAGGGGCCAACCCAGGGAGTTCGGGGTGGGGGAGAGGTTTTAGGGGAGAGGCAGCCCTGATTGGGCCCAGACTCACCTCTGGCCAATAGCTGGCGGAAGAGGATAAAGGCCAGTGAAACTTGGGAAGGTTTTGCAGGATTGTCAGATCTCACTGGAAACTGGAACTCTCCAGCTGAGGCCTCTTTCTTTAGCAGAGGCCTGGATTTGGGGGGTCAAGGATCTTGCGGGCAGGAGCTCAGAGTCTGATTACTTATTAGTTATTATGCTCAAGTTTAAAACTGAGCCATGTAGGTCCTTTAATTTTATGAGACTAAAATTTAGGAGCAGGGATACCTTTCCAGTATTACTTCTAGCATGTAACCTCTCATTTTAATTTGGCTTGTGCAGGTATGTGGTGGTGATAAGCCTTACATTGCACCTTCAGATTTGGAGCGAAAACACCTGGATCTCAAGGAAGTGGCACTTAAGCAGTTCCGTTCTGTGAAGAAAATGGGTGGAGATGAATTCTGCCGTCGGTATCAGGACCAGCTTGAAGCTGAAATTGAAGAAACCTATGCAAATTTTATAAAGCACAACGATGGCAAAAATATCTTCTATGCTGCTCGTACCCCTGCCACACTGTTTGCAGTCATGTTTGCTATGTATATAATCTCAGGACTGACTGGCTTCATTGGCCTAAACTCTATAGCCGTCTTATGTAACCTTGTCATGGGGCTGGCACTGACGTCCCTTTGTACATGGGCATATGTTAAGTACTCTGGGGAGTTCAGAGAAATTGGAACAATGATTGATCAGATTGCTGAAACACTCTGGGAACAGGTTGGTATCTATCTTTTGGGTTTTTTTAAGTGACTAATCTCACTTCTGTGTGATTTCCAGCACTCATTTCCTACCTTATTTGTACTTCTTTTCCTTTACATGAGGCATGACAAGAGGATGGGCTTTGGTTTTGGATGTTGTTTTGATTTTGTTTTAAATTTAGAATCTAATTTGCTTAAAAATTTGTTTTTTTATTTATAATTATATTTTACTTTGATTAGTTTCAATCTCCCAATATTTTTGGTTCATTTTTTAGTTACAAGTCTAATGATTATGCCAGACAGTGGGCAGGGCTTAGATTTACTAATATATTTTCTTTAAGAAAAGAAAATACTGTCAGTGTGAAATTTTAAAGGTAAGGAAAAGAAGTTTGGAAGAACACTCAGTGCTTTGGGGAGAAAAATGAGATTTCTCCTAACCACTATTAACAAGAAACAATATAAGAGAAATATTGCATGTTAGGTTTTCATATCTTCTGTGATGATGGTGGCAGTTTATTGCAGCACTCCAGGAATAATGCCACAGATTTTTCAGAGATAGAGAGAGAAAGAGAGAGAGAGAGAGTGTGTGTGTGTGTGTGTGTGAACAGAGCAGAGCACCACTGACAGGCCAACTTCAGTTGCTGTCTTTCACATAAGCCAGTGAGAGCTCTTGCTCAGCAGTTATCTATTGAGGAGAGCTCGTTTTTCCACCTGGTTACTTGAGTATAGGTAATTATTCTTGTGGTTAAATATGCCCATTAAGACATCACCTCATTGTCCTGAGAAGCAGAATGAAAACTCAGGTTATTACTGATGAACAGTAGAAGAAGTGTGCTCCATGTTGTTTCTGTGTCAGTGAAGTATCTGGCTAGGATGTGCATGTTCATCTCAGCTTTCTGTTCAAAGACCAAAGAGTTCACTATTTTTTTTCTGAACAAAGATGATTAGGTATTAATTTTTCTTATAATTATTATGACTGTATAAACCCATGGTTCTCAACCTCCCCAATGCTGCAGTTCTTTAATACAGATTCTCATGTTATGCTGACCCTTAACCATAAACTTAACTTTCATTGCTACTTCATAACTGTAATTTTGCTACTGTTACAAATAGTAATTAAATATTTTTTACATAGAGGTTTGCAGTGCGGATTGTGGCCCACAGGTTGAGAATCACTGATATAAACTAACACATTCTATTAATTTGAACTTCTTTCTTTCAGAAATTACTCTTATGTATTAAGATTTTCTTTGGAGCTTGTGTTTTAACATTTTGTTAAGTTCAAATTTTCACCTCTTAAAATCAATCTTACTGCTTTGTTGTCTTTTGATATTTTCTAATAGAAGATGGATTAAGAATTAATCATCACTGCTTTAAAAGTGATCTAACTTTAAATTTTTGAACCAGTACTGTTCTTCTACCACCTGGGTTTTGAAATGCTTTCTGTTAACATTGATTCTAGGACTTTAGAGGTGCCGCTTTTATAGAACAGTTTCACGTGAGTCTCAGGTGTGTAAAGTTATTTTCAGAGTAGTAGAGTAAGGTAAGAGCCACAGTCAGGATCCCCAGTCAGAGAAGACTTGAGCTGTGTTCAACAGGCCTTGTCTAAAATGTCTTTGCATTTCTCTTTTCCTTTGCTTCAGAGGAGTCCCAGGAAGGTGAGAAACCTACAGAGTCTGAAATTCTTCTAGTCTTTAACTCTAGCTTCAAGGCACTCTGAGTCACTTTCCTAACACATCACTCCATGTTTTAGGTGTTTTCCAAACTGTTTGAAGTTACTAGACGTCGAATGGTTCATCGTGCTCTTTCACCAGCACAGCGACAGAGACTGTCATCCAACAATAACAAGAAGAAAAATTAGACAGTATTTTTAACTTTTTTCTTTATCTGAAGTGTTCACACTTATACATGTAGGACAATAAGACCGACTGGGCCGGTCTGCATAAATGCTGTATACATACCAGATTTGATGCTGCATATAGGGTATGGATTGCACATCCATCTCATAGGATTTGTAAATGGTTTGAGTAAGAGGAAAGTAATTTTGTTGCATTATAAAATGTCTAACTGCATTGTTTGTTGCATCATAACTTTTTGTTTGTATTTTTGGGAGAAGCATCCTTTTATTTCTCACATTCCTGGTTATTTGTGTCATTGATTTGAATTGAATTTTTTGTATCTGTTTTTATATGTACTCTTTTTTTTTTTTATCTCATGTTTTTGTTTGTTTTGCACATTTCTCATACCACAGGTATTGAAGCCCCTGGGTGATAATTTGATGGAGGAAAACATAAGGCAGTCTGTAACAAACTCTATCAAAGCAGGCCTGACTGACCAGGTGTCTCATCATGCCCGATTAAAGACAGACTGACAGTTCATCTCCTCATGGACTCCACTCTCCCTTTTTCATGCTTGCTGTACAATGAGAACTCAAAAATAAACCAAAGTTTACAATCAACTGTAGAAGTAGTTTAGTGTAACTGGCTTCACAGATGGCTGCCACAGAGTGTGAACATTGTTGGTTTCTAGCCTTCTTCTGATGTCTCCTTAGACCTGGATATGGCTGAGGAGCATTAGTTTATCATGCACATTTGTGTCATGTTTAATTCTTTTCTTTTTACTGAATCTAATGTAGTGAAATTTGTCTTATGTAAAAGGATATTTCAGGGAAATACTTTAAGAAATCTATTTAGAGTCTCTTTAATATAGTATCCCATTGAAATTTTAATTTTTAGAGAATTTATGAATCACTGTATCAAGAATCAGATCAGAATGACAATGAAGCCTTTATTGAGCCACGACATTAAAAGTGTATATTGCTTTACTGCCTTCCATGCCAGTATTACATAAATGCATGTATCAGAAATGTCACAGAAATCACATGACAACTCTTAGAGCTGAGAAGGTAACTCTGAGGTGTACAATTGTCTTGCCTTTTAAAATTTGTAAACCTGCCCTGAAAGGAGATGCATATCTGGGAAACCTAACTGTCTTTTTGCAGTTTAGCCTTCATGTACATAAAATATGCCGTTAATTTTATTGGGGGAGAAATTCCATCCAAAAATGTTGCCTACAGCTATGAGTTAAGAGTGTCTGTACAGTGTGTAGCTTTTATTTTCTAAAAATCACAGGTAGGGCATGTATATGAATTATAAATATATAAATACAATTTTGTATTAAAAGTTTTGTAGTTTATGGAAAAATCTGGTTCTGTGGTAGGCTAATGAGTACAGTCCCTGTGAAAGGAATGTTTGTGGCTCATGTCAGTGTGAATGCATAGACAATTTGAAGTTTTGATATATTTGTGATATTTATCTTCCTTGAGCATTGCAATCTCACCCCAAGGGAATTCAATGGGAATGTTTTATTGTGACTTGTCCTCTGTTGCATTTTAAAGTTATTTCCTGTAATTTATTTTCAGTACATAATTAAAAATTTGTTGTATATATAAAATGAAACTTGTGATTCTTTTTAAAGGAATTTCTCAAGTCTGTACCTCATCATATAACTAATATTTGTTCATGCTGAACAGAGTGTAGGTTAGGGTGCACCCAAGTTAGAGCTCAAGGCATTGTACTTCAAAACTAAGCTTGGGAAAGTTATTTTTCTGTGTCTGTAGATGTAAGGACTATTTGTTGTGAGAGCCTATCTGCGATTGATAAATTTTTCATTTTCTTCTTGCCCATAACTCTACGCACTCCCATCTTGTGAGTTTGTGTGTTTAAGAGGGAGTGTGTGTTATGTAAAGCTACTTTTTCCAATATTTTTATAACCTCCTTTACGAAGACCTATTAAAGCAACCCTGTTTGGTTTTTAAGTAAAGAGAATTTAAATGTTGAGTTGCATGCATGAAAGGTTTGCTAAATTTACTTTGATTGTTATATCTTCCTCCGGCTCCCATTCCAGTCCTGGTTTTATATGGCTGTGTTTGTTTCCATCTGTAGTGACTGCTGCCCACTTATCCATCTGTTCTTAACAAAAGAATCATCTAACAAGGCTCTTTTTACTTCTCTGACCATTTTGTTTTATGAATGCTGTAAGTTGTTTTTATGAATGAAAAATAAAGTTTGTTGTATACTAGCAATTGTTCTGAAATCAAAAACTTACACAGTTTTTTTTTTTTTTTTTTTTTTTAAGTGATTGTCTTGACATTGTACTCCATAGTATTTCTCACTAAAATAGTGTTGTCCCTCAAGAATTCTCTGCAGGACTCCAAGAAAGCACTTTAGTTTCATCTGGAAGGCTCTGCACAAGAAGAAGAAGCAGTGAGAACAAAAAAACGATGGACTAAAGACAAAACATTGAAATAACAACTTCAGTATTGTTCTATTTTCTGTGGCTTTTTAAAATTAAAAGATGGTTTCTTTCAGTGACATAATTTATCTTTTTAAGACATCTTTTGTGAAAGGAGCAACCATTTGGGACTTTGCTGTTGAGTATGTCTTTTCATGACTATAGATTGCTAGTCATCCTTCTATAAAACATTTTATTTGTAAAATTAAATAGTGCTATTTCACATTTGAGGCTTATGTTTTCTTTAAATTTGAATTTTAAAGTTGTGTATTTGTGTATCTGTGTGTGGATATATGTGTACCTGAGTGTAGATGCCCATGGAGGCCAGAAGAGGAGGACATTGGATTCCTTTAACTGGGGGAGGTTGTGAGTTGCCTGATACGGGTGTTGGGAACAGAACTTGGATCCTCTGGAGGAGCAATGAGTGCTGTTAGTCACAACTTAAGTTTTTAAGCAGTGATCAGGGTTGGATTTACTTGTAGAATTGAACCAGGCAGGCTAAGACTTCACCTCTGGCAATACTGCTTGCTATAGTTACATTTCATTATTATGTACTTTTAAACATTTGGTTTTAGCTTGGTTAAAGACCTTTGAAAACATACTTTGAAATGAGGGGTTTAATTTTGGTTCCTTGGGCAAATTACCTATAATGGGACCATGGCTGTGGGGTTAGTGCTTGCTGTGCAAGCATTAAGGGTGGGGTTTGTATCCCCAGAACTTAACTAAAGCTGGAGTTTAGGGCTCCTATGGCAAGAATGGTGGACAGAGACAGGAGAATGCCTGCAAGTTCAGGCCAGATAGCTTGATGTATGCAATAGTGTCTAAGAACCTACCTCAAGGTAAAAGACAATGATCCATACCTGAAATCCTGACTGTCAGCATTCACACATGGAAGCACATATACATTACACAAATCATTCATATACCCCCCTCCCTGCTGTGCCCTCTGTGATACCAATTTTTAGCCAAGTAATAAATTGGCAGTTGGATTCACTGCTTAGTTACAAGTGCGGTGTATATCCATTGCATACTTTCAGGCCTTGGCTTGAACATTCCATGACCCTAATTCTTTCCTGCTAGCCTGTTAACGAGCAGTTTTCTCCCCAGCCTGGTCCCAGAGTAGTGTTCAGTCCTAAATAACACACAGAGACACTGTATTAGATGTAAAGCTGTTGGCCTGTTACTAGTGTTTCTTATAGGCTAGCTCTATCTTTAATATTAATTCATTTCTATTAATCTAAGTGCTTCCACAGTCTTATTTTACCAGAGAAAGTGTCCTGACCTCCTCCCCTCAAGTCCCTACATCTTGACTCTCCTCTACTACATCTCCCAGAATCCTTGTCTCTTAGTCCCACCTATCTTGTTTCCTATTGGCCAACAGGGTTTTATTCATTAACCAATAAGAGAAACATTTACAGAATGACATCTCCCATCATCTCTCTTCTGTCTAAAATAGAAGGGTTTTAATTTTAACATAGTAAAATATTTAACAACAGTTATCAAATAAGAACTATAATTAACAATATTTAGTTCTTTAACATTTAGCAAGATTTAAAGAAAATATTCCATCCTATCTTTGTAAGTCTAAAGTCTTATATGTAACTTATCTTTAATCCTAACTAAGATAAACTACACTATAACCATAACTATCTGTCTTTAACTTCCTCAAAGGCCACAGAAGGATAATTTATAAACTCTAGAAATGACAGAGACAACCTAACTGCCTGGCCAGTCACCCAAAGTTCTTCTGTAATGTTCCATCTTCAGCCCATAGGCCATAGTGTGTCTGGCAGACTTCTCAGCAAAGCAGGAAATTTCAAACTGTCCCACCTGTGTTGGCAGTTTGCCAGTCACCTTTCTTTGCAGAATGTCTGGCAGACTCTTCCATGAAGCGGAAACCCTGTAACAATGTCCATCTTGTATCAGCAGTCACTTTCCTGTGGGTCCTGCATATCCAGTTTATACAGTATAAAGTCAAACAGTCTAGACAAGAGCAGTTTCTTGCCCAAATGGCTAGTCTTCCCATATTGGGAGTAAATGTCATAACAAGTTTCTTCAATGTCCATCTTTTGTGACACACGTGTTGTCAGGAGTAGTTACGTCTCACTGTTAAGAAAAACCCTAAACTGTTTAAAATGCCATATTCTGTAGAGGTCTTTGAGGGGTTTGAAGAATATTTATCCATCTCAAATATATCTCTGTATATCTAGAAATCCTAACATAGCTATAAGTTTTAACTATTATAGGTAACTATAATCTGCACTAAATTATACATTACATTTTTAAATGAGCTATATAAATACAATACCTAAACAAGAGAAGAAATATGTCACAAAATTGATCTTAAATTGTATAAATAAATGAAAATCCTTTTCAAAATAAAGTATTCAATTCTATACCATTAAAAAGAGATTGGTTGTGATCATTAGCCATTTATAACCAACCCTATTTAAATGAAAACAAACATTTATGAACAATATTTGGGAATTTGGGCATCATTCTCTCTAAACTGCTTCCTGCTGGTAGGGGTCGCTGTCATGGTGATCCCAAGAAGACACAGAAATCCTGGTCGGCAAAGCTGCCTTTTCCCAGCTGTTTTGAATGTTGGATCACCTAGGACACTGCTTCAGGGGGGTCTTGCTTGATCATACCCTGTTAGTCTGGAAGGAATGCACAGCTTTTTATTTTCTGTGGAAATAAAAATAGAAATTCTTTTCCCCAGTAGCTTGTCCTTAGACTTAAATTTGGAAGTCAAAGCATTTTAAAAATATGTAAATTGGATTAATCCAGCAGCATTTCTTTTAACTGTTGTTGCCATTTCCTCAGCAGTCAAACAATACAAAGACAACACAATAGCATACAGTATCCATACTCTTTGTGTATTTTCTATTTTTACGTGGCTTTTTTTATTACTCTATTTCTTTTACTTCTATTTTTTTCATTTATTGAGACAGGGCTTCTCTGTGTACTTTTGTCTGTCTTGGAATTCACTCTGTATACCAGGTTCACCTTGAAATTACAGAAATTTGTTTGCCTCTACCTCCAGAGTACTAGAATTAAAGGTGTGTGCCACCACACTCAGCTACTCTCTTTCTACTTTTTTTTAAACCACTTTATCCTGTTTCTTTTTCTCTCCCAAGCCTATGTGTATTTTAAAACACACTGTAAACCTTTAGAGGTTTTTCTTTATCTGAAATCTGTCTTTACTGTAAATCTTTATCTTTTTCTGGCCACCAGCCTTTTATCTGCTAAGCAACATTGCTTTCCAAGATGGCCGGGGTAAGTTTACCACCAGCACTGAGAGCTGTGCTCACTGCCTTGGTCTACATTGCCATCAAGCAGCATACTGCCAGCCTGGAGATGTGGTCATTGCCAGCACTCACATACATCATTAAGTTGTTAGGAGGGTTTGCTGCTTATGCGTAGTCAGGATACCTCCTTTAAAGGAGCAGTGCAAATCTCTGCTTGTTTCTAGGAAAACAGAACCCAATTGAGAAAAATGCTGCTACCAAAAAGCCTTGCTTGTCTCTGTTCTTTTGTTTTTAAAATCCCTTTTTTAAGCTTTTGTCAAGTTTTAAGTGGAAGTTCTTAGTACCCACGTTGTAGGTGCCATTTTGTCCCACCCACAATAGTTCAACAGGGCTTTATTCATTAACCAATAAGAGAAATATATTTACAGAAAGACATCTCCCATCACTAGCTGACTGAGCTGACCTATGTATACATACTGTTTTTTTTTTTTCCATTCTTGGATTGATGAAAATCATCTTAGAGAGTTGATGATGTATTCTGCCATCTATCTTTCCTCTTGGCTACACAAGTCAAATGACTTGCTTGGGTTCTGTCTGCAACCTCTGCCTGTAAAAGATGGTGTTGGAATTTTCAGCGCTTGACTTGTAGTGAAAGCCAATTGGAGCGTCCTGAAACAGCACAAAATTCCTGTCTACCCCCTACTTAAGTCTTTACTGGACCCTAGTGACTTTGTTGGATCTACATTGGAGCTGTTCTTAATATACTGCAACTGAAAGGATGAAAATACAGCCTAACTCTCTAATGACCACTAAAAGTTAGAAATTTAAAAATATCTACCAGAATATATTTAAAAATCACCCTAGCTGCATGCAAAGCTCAGGAAAAAGAAAACACATGAAATAGCTTGGTCACAACGACTGGTTTCTAGAAATTATTATTATTCATAACCACCTAGTTTCTGAGGAATTATTCTCAACAACAGTCTGGGAATTGTTATGGGTCATCCTGTCTACAAAGAAAATAACTAAAAGAGACGGGACTCATGGCAAGAAGGGGAAACTAGAAAGAACAAGTGCCTCTGCCAATAGATATAGATAACTCCCTGACTGGCAAGTACATCCTCCCTGCCTCCCATTATCTTAAGGTCAAGGCCACTGAGCCCACTGGTCTTAGAGAAAGAAAACCCCCTAACCATGCAGGTGCGCTAAACAATCCTGCCTTGTAAAAACTGTGTACTCTATGAAATCTCTGTGACCTGGGAAACCATCCAAGTTTTAAACTGTCCCCATGACCTTACTTTTAGGCCTAGTGAAAATAACAGGCTAGCTTTGAAACTGGCCTTGTTAGCTTTGATGTAAATCGTATAAAAGCTATCTCAATTCTGCCCTTGAGGTCCTCAATCCTCTACTCCTGCATGGTGTATGATTGTGGACTTCAATGCACTTGAAATAAAAATTCCTCATGCTATTTGCATTGAGACTGCTTCTCGTGAGTGATTTGGGGTGTCATCTTTCCTGAGTGGGAGCGTGAAGGTC